CCCTGTTTCTGCCTACCTCTAAAAAATTTCCAGGGCTATTATATTGGACTTCCTCTCTTAGTGCTGTATACCCCTGACGTGGAAATCAGGGCAATGAAGATTGTAGCATTTCCTCTCATTAACTAAGACATTCAGGAGAGGACATTATGGTGACCTTAGAAATTTTTTTAGTGAGTATAATTGGACAGACTTGATGCTAGGCAAGGAAGTGAATGAGATGTATGGCAAGTTTTGTGAAATATATGATAAAGGCACAAAAAAATTTATACAAAAACAGAGATGCAGAACTAGGAAACAGGATTGGTTCAATAGAAATTGCGAGAGGGCTAGAGACCGAAAGACACAAAAATGGAATCAATACAGGAAGAGGCCGAACCCCCAAACATACCAGCGATACAAAGATGCGAGAAACAACTACACGGCAGTGAGGAGAGAGGCAGAAAGAAATTTTGAAAAAGGGATTGCGGACAAATGTAAAACAGAACCAGGTCTATTCTATAAATTCATAAACAACAAATTGCAGGTAAAGGATAATATTCAGAGGTTGAAAATGGGAAATAGATTCACGGAAGATGAAAAGGAAATGTGTGAAACACTAAACGAAAAGTTCCAAAGTGTGTTTGTACAAAATGAAATCTTTAGGGAACCAGATACAATAAGAATTCCAGAGAACAACATAGAACACATAGAGGTGTCTAGAGACGAAGTGGAAAAAATGCTCAAAGAGCTCGGTAAGAACAAAGCAGCTGGCCCAGATGGCGTTTCACCATGGGTTCTGAGAGAAGGTGCATCTGAGCTCAGCATTCCACTTCACCTGATCTTTCAGGCATCCCTGTGTACAGGAATCGTAGCAGACGGGTGGAAACAGGCTAACATAGTTCCAATCTACAAAAGTGGCAGCAGGGAAGACCCCCTCAATTATAGACCTGTATCATTGACAAGTGTAATAGTGAAAGTATTGGAAAAACTAATCAAAACTAAATGGGTAGAACACCTAGAGAGAAATGATATAATATCAGACAGACAGTATGGTTTTCGATCTGGAAGATCCTGTGTATCGAATTTACTAAGTTTCTATGATCGAGCCACAGAGATATTACAGGAAAGAGATGGTTGGGTTGACTGCATCTATCTGGACCTAAAAAAGGCTTTCGACAGAGTTCCACATAAGAGGTTGTTCTGGAAACTGGAAAATATTGGAGGGGTGACAGGTAAGCTTCTATCATGGATGAAAAATTTTCTGACTGATAGAAAAATGAGGGCAGTAATCAGAGGCAATGTATCAGAATGGAGAAATGTCACAAGTGGAGTACCACAGGGTTCAGTTCTTGCACCAGTGATGTTTATTGTGTACATAAATGATCTACCAGTTGGTATACAGAATTATATGAACATGTTTGCTGATGATGCTAAGATAATAGGAAGGATAAGAAATTTAGATGACTGTCATGCCCTTCAAGAAGACCTGGACAAAATAAGTATATGGAGCACCACTTGGCAAATGGAATTTAATGTTAATAAATGTCATGTTATGGAATGTGGAATAGGAGAACATAGACCCCACACAACCTATATATTATGTGAGAAATCTTTAAAGAATTCTGATAAAGAAAGAGATCTAGGAGTGGTTCTAGATAGAAAACTATCACCTGAGGACCACATAAAGAATATTGTGCAAGGAGCCTATGCTATGCTTTCTAACTTCAGAATTGCATTTAAATACATGGATGGCGATATACTAAAGAAATTGTTCATGACTTTTGTTAGGCCAAAGCTAGAATATGCAGCTGTTGTGTGGTGCCCATATCTTAAGAAGCACATCAACAAACTGGAAAAGGTGCAAAGACATGCTACTAAGTGGCTCCCAGAACTGAAGGGCAAGAGCTACGAGGAGAGGTTAGAAGCATTAAATATGCCAAAACTAGAAGACAGAAGAAAAAGAGGTGATATGATCACTACATACAAAATAGTAACAGGAATTGATAAAATCGACAGGGAAGACTTCCTGAGACCTGGAATTTCAAGAACAAGAGGTCATAGATTTAAACTAGCTAAACACAGATGCCGAAGAAATATAAGAAAATTCACCTTCGCAAATAGAGTGGTAGACGGTTGGAACAAGTTAAGTGAGAAGGTGGTGGAGGCCAAGACCGTCAGTAGTTTCAAAGCGTTATATGACAAAGAGTGCTGGGAAGACGGGACACCACGAGCGTAGCTCTCATCCTGTAACTACACTTAGGTAATTACACTTAGGTAATTACTAAGAGTTTCCATAGCTTAGGGTGGAAATATCTACACTCTATACCAAAACGACATCTGCCCTTCCCTAACATGTTTCAACATTTTTGGGGATGCATGAATGTGCATTCTGTGCCTCTGGTCCCATATCTGCACTGTCCTTTTGCATAATATCTGCAGATATTTTCATCTGTGCTTGTATTTTTATTCTTTGTACCCATGTATGACTTGGCTACCTCTGTATTTTTTTTCCAACTTTCTCGTTTCCGCATTCTTTTTCGGTATTGCCCTGATCTTTCTCCTTGTTGCTTTTGTCCTTCTCATTTTTGTTATTGTCCTTCTCATTTTTTCTCTCCTTATTCATATTACCAGTTTGCTTTTCAATATTGCCTTCATTTTCGTGTACCTCGACACAATGTCCTTCTACATTGCTAATTTGGCTCTCTAAACTCTCAGTCCCTGGGTTGTGTTTAGTGTTCGTTGCTGTCTTTACATACTCTGCATATATTTCTGGTAGCTTTTGTGTGAATTGTAGCCTATGTACTTCAGGAATGTCATTCATTAGTTTGGTGATGTTTTCCGACATCAGTCTATCATTGTGACAGATCCAGTAGTTACCTTGTCTGTTTGCATATTGTGTAGGTAATCCTGTACAACTCGCGTGAAATCTTATGAACAAATCCACAAGAGCCGTGACAAGGATTCGAACCTGCGTCCGAGAGCATCCCAGACGCTGCCTTAATCGACTGAGCTACGACATGGTCTTGTGGATTTTTTTCATTTGATGCATCATGCCATTGTGATTTGTGTGTGTAGTGAAATCTTATGTTACAAATGTTACATACAATCCCTACAGCACTCCTCTGAGGTGACTTAAAGCGGCGGCTACATATCTCCATGTTGGGTTTATGATGCAGAGGTTGACTGTTTCCCCTATTTGCGATTTATAGCCGATTTATCTCTTGTTGACTTTAGTAATTTTACTTTTTATAATATTATATTAAAATATTTATAATATTTTATGTACTGTATATATAATATGTATACAGTATATTTATAATATTATTACAGTACTTACAGGGCACCTAGGGAAGGTAAACCTAGGCGCATGCAGCCCGAGTACTGGAGACTCACTCCCGGCTCACGCACCACCATGAAGACAGACACCACACACTAGGTACAGTGCTGAAACAACTAATGAAGCCGGAGCACACAACCGGTGCCTATAGCATCAGCCAAAGAACTGATGGGTGGACAGCCGGCGTGAGAGGTCTGGGGCTCCCCCTTCCCCCTCCCGGGGAAGGGGGAGCTGCGCAGACAGCGGCGCGGTAACGTGTAACGTCATACTAGTTTGCTTGTTTTCTGTTGGGGAGTTCTATCCACTAGTTCAGCTTTTGGTAGTAATTTTAACCAGAATAGGGGTTTGCTTTGGAATGCTTACCTTTCTGGATGCTTGACCCGGTCGATGGCAGACATAGAATGCTTCCAACCACACGGGGGTTTCTATAGGCCATTGCTCCCTTTGCCTCTCTGAGGGGGCCACGTTCTGGCCGTGGTCCCCGGTAGGCCCTAGAACTCCATACACATGACTGATGCCAAAGTCTGACATTAGCATATCAGCCTGGTATAGCTCCGGGGAGCCGACGGGGCTCCCCCCAGAAAAACTGTTGAAAGACTATAAGAATGTTTTCTTTCGCAGAGTGGTAGACAGTTGGAACAAGTTAAGAAGGAGGTGGAGGCCAAAACCGTCAATAGTTTCAAAGCGTTACATAACAAAGAGTACTGGGAAGACAGGATACCACAAGCATAGCTCTCATCCTGTAACTACACTTAAGTTGACCAGACCACACACTTGAAGTTGAAGGGATGACGACGTTTCGGTCCGTCCTGGACCATTCTCAAGTCAATCGACTTGAGAATGGTCCAGGACGGACCGAAACGTCGTCGTCCCTTCACCTTCTAGTGTGTGGTCTGGTCAACATACTTCAGCCACGTTATTGTGACTCATCGCCTGCATACTCTTAAGTTATTACACTTAGGTAATTACATTCATAGACATAAATAGTACATATACTCATTCATCCTGCCTCCCAGTTGGCCATGCAGACAATTTTGTAGAATACTCCACCAAGTGGCTGCTGCACGAATGCTTTAACGTGATGCAGCGAATTCAAAGGCAGCACATCCTTTGCACTAACTCCAATGAGTTAGTGGAGTGATTTTATGGACGAAAGGGGTACATAGGGGACCTAGGGAATGTTCGTATGGACGAATATTCATAAGGCAAATGTTAGCAAAGTGAGAACCCTCTGTACAATTAGGGATTGGCGCGTACTCAATCCTCCTCATCCAGGATACAAACCTAGGCCAAATCCCTTGCGAAGTGTGAGGTGAGTGTGCTACCACTGTGACACCAGGGACAGTATTGTCAAGAGTGCCAGGTGAATGTGTGGTATTGCTATAAAGTTTTATATGTTGTACAGATGATTTCAAAACTTTTCTGAGAAGGAAATAATGTGCTTTGTGACCATAATTTTTTAAAGTGGGGTACCCTTAATAGAGGGGTAAGCTTTGATCCCAAAATGTTCCAACCCAATAGAGGGGCAAGTCAATGTGAAATGTTGTTTGTGTTGTTTAAAGATAGTCACAGAAACCTGGCATGTTGTTTATGGCCCCTAATGTGATGGTGTCAGAAGTTGAGGGAAGCCAGCCCAGAAAAAGAATTAAAATTGTTAAACATGAAAACAGTGATCTATATTTACCATCCACAGCTTTCAGAGGCTCCTTCTTAGAAGGGTAGAAAGTTTTTTTCAAATTTCGGATGCGAACGGCAACTTTTCTGGCTACCTCAGAAGAAACTGGTTCCAAATCTGGGCTTGTTAGAGCTTCATCATCTTCAGCATTCAGTAAAGAAAACTGAAAAAAACAGCGTTGAATGTAATGAAACGCCATTTTTTGGGTGAGTTCCGGAGGCTCCCCGGGGCTATCCAGGCTGATATGATTATCCCTAACTTTAGCATCAGTTGATGTGGGTGGAGTTCTAGGCCTACCTGGGACCACAAGTCCCAGGTAGGCCTAGGCCCCCTCAGAGAGGCACAAGGAGCAATGGCCTATAGAAATACACATGTGATTTGAATCATTCTATATCTGCCATCGACCGGGATAGGCACCCAGAAAGGTAAGCACCCCAAAACAAACCCCTATTCTGGTTAAAAAACGATGAAAATAGACAAAAGAGAGGACAGAACTCCCCAATTAAAAATGAGCAAACGAGCATGACATCACATGAGCCGCGCTGCATGTCTGTGCAGCTTCCCCCTTCCTGGGAGGGGGAAAATGGAGCCCCAGACACCTGCACTGGCGATCCACACCCCAGTTCTGAGGCTGGATATCAAAATACATGAAAACCGCCGACCGGAGGGAGGGAGAGTTGCTGGGGAGCCTCCGGGACTCACCCAGAAAATGGCGTTTCATTACATTCAACGCTGGTTTTCTGGGGCTACTTCACCAAAGACGAAAAAAAAAGCGGACTTACAAGCGAGGTGATCAGTGCTCACATCTCAACTTGAAGTCAAGACAGGCTGCAGCTGCCAACCCAAAGCGATATTGGCCCGACTACGCCCAGGAACATTAACGAGGTAGCATGCAGCCAAGACCCTGTTCAACTGTCAAAAACCCTGTGCCCGAATGTCAGCCCAGGGCATGTTACCAAAGACGGCAGCAAGTGCAGCAAACTTACGAATGTCATAGGCACAGAAATAGACCACAGGCTGGCTAGACTTAATAGTCCTGCGGACGACCTGAGAGACCTGCGAACAGGGAAGAAAAGAAACTGGATCAACCCAAAGCGTGTCCCCCGGACACAGAAGCCGTGGCACGCAAATAATGATGGAGGGCCGCAACTGGACACAACACATCATGCACTCTTGGCCTGACCAACCAAGCATCAACAACCCAAGCAGCAGAAGTCTCATTCTTCACCAGAAAAGGAGAAGTCTGCAGACAAACAAACCTATCACCACGACCAAAAGAGCAGAAACCTCTGCGCTAGAGAAGAGCATGAAGCTCCACAACCCGACCCCCCCCCCCCCAAGGCCCTTGTAAGTCCCCTTTTTTTCATCTTTGGTGAAGTAGCTCTGGGAGCCAAAAGGGCTCCCCCCCCCCCAGAAAACCAGCGTTGAATGTAATGAAACGCCATTTTCTGGGTGAGGGGCCACAACAAACCGAGGAGAAGAGAGATAGGAGAGCACCCTGTCCAACGACCAGGACGGCTCAGGCGGCGCATGAGCAAGCCGGAGGTGAAACAACGCACGAGACAGCTTGCAAAACGGCGCAAAAGTAACATCTATACTGAAAGCCAAGCTAAGGACCGCATCAAACCCCCGCAGTTCAGGCATTGAACCACCGTGGAGCCGTCCGAATGGAGCCGAATCGTTGATCCGCAGGTGACCAGAACCCTCCGAAGCACAAACCACACCCCCGCGAACTCCCGCACTGTGCTGTGGGCCCGACGGAAGGACGGACCCCCACCGCCCCTGGCCGGCCTGGTGAGCACTGGTCACAAAGTCCCGGCTGAGAGATGAGGCATCCGTGAACACATCGAGCGAGGGCTCGGGTAGGCGCCAAGGTACTGAACCCCGAAAAACCTGAAGAGGAAGCCAGCAAAGCAGCAGCCAACGTAAGGCTCCCGGGGATCGAACCCAGCGATTGTGAGCGAGACGGAAGGAATGTCCCCGAAGGAACCAGAACAGCCGACGAAGCCAAACCCAACCTGACCATCTTCGCTAAGTTCAGGCTCTGGCACAGTCCCTCGAGCAACCGCCGAGTGACTCGGGAGCCCCCCAGAAACAGGCACTTGCGGGACCATAGCTGAAGGAGAGACTCCGGGGAAAGAGACAAGGAAGCGGCTAGAAAATCTCACACAAGACTCAGCCAGGTCCGAACCTGGGAGGGAACCAGATGGGACTTTCGCTGGTTCACCAGGAAGCTAGCTGGAAAAGCACCTAACCCCTGGCAAGCAGAAACAAGGACCAACCGGGAGCCCAAACCAGCCAGTTGTCGAGGTAAGCCAACACCTGAACACCTAACAGATACAGAAATGCCACCATGATCCAGGTAAGCGTGTGAACACGCAAGGTGCCAGGTTCAACCAGAATGGGAGACAATGAAAGCGGTACCTCTGATGCCCCACAACAAAACTGAGCCAGTCCCTGAACCCCGTATGAATCGGGATGTTCCAATACGCATCCTTGACATTTGTGTCCCCTCCAGGGACACAATCCAAGCGCCCGGCTCCAACAGAAGCCAGACCTGGGACAGAGTGGTTATCCGAAAGGAGGGGCAGGAAACCCATGGGGTTCAGACGGAACAAGTTCAGAATGAACCGAAGGTCCAATACCAAGGTAGACTCCTACCAGGCAAAAAGAAAAAGAAAATAAAAACCTCGCAAGAGGACAGCGTACCCAGAAGGAACAGAACCGGCCAATATTATAGGTGAAAACTAGCTGTGCAGCAACCTGCGCCTATACCAGTGCAAAAACTACCACTTACCCCAACGTAAACAAGGGCAGAAACTCCCCAAAACACTCGGGGCGGTCAATTGCCAAGCAGGAAAAGACCAACAGAGGTAAACCCAAGGTGACTAGTGGAAGATAACCCCAAGCACCTAGGAGCAGTACTTACAGGGCACTCAGGGAAGGGAACCCTAAGCTCATGCAGCCTGAGTACCTGTGAATATTACTTCTAGCTCTCACGCCACAGTAAGAGCAGTACTGAACAAAGGCAAAGCACAACCCAAGAGTCTGGAGCTGGAGCCACACGACTGTGATGCCTCACATCAGCCGAAGAACTGGGGTGTGGTTCACTGGCATGGGGATCTGGGGCTTCCCCTTTCCCCCTCTCGGGGAGGGGGGAAGCTGCGCAGACATGCAATGTGACATCATGCTCGCTTGCTCGTTTTCATTGGGAGAGTTTTGTCCACTTGTTTGTCTACTTTTGTTGTTTTTTAACCAGAATAGGGGTTTGTTTTGAAATGTTCACCTTTCTGGGTGCCTGTCCCAGTCAATGGCAGATACAGAATGCTCCAAATCACATGTACATTTCTATAGGTCATTGTTCCTCATGCCTCTCTGAGGGGGCCAGGTTCTGGCTTGTGGTTGGTAGACCTAGAACTCCACCCATATTGACTAATACCAAAGTCAGGGATAATCACATCAGCCTGGATAGCTATGTGGGAGCCAAAGGGGCTCCCCCCCAGAAAATACGTGAGCAAATAAGAATTTTTCATAAAATTACAACTGAATGCATTAAAAAAATGTGTTGATGTAATGAAATGCCTCTTTCTGGTTGGACCTTGGTGGCTCCCTGATGCCAGCTCGCTCAATTTGCTCCACATTTGAGTCACATCATCCTTAAAAGTCCTTATCCCATCAACTCTGCACATCAACCAGGGATGTTTTAACAAATTATTCATATGCTGAGTAACTTGGTCAGGGATGTTTTAAAGTACAACATAAGATTTACAACTCCCATAGGTACATGGGGCTCACATTTGCTTCTTCGCGCATCCAGTAAACAAATGCCATCTTGGAAAAAAACATGGGCACCCCTCTTGGACGTGAGGGCCTCAGCACAGAGAAAGCATGCTTACCTGCTTGCTTGATGGGGTTCTGGGAGTTCTTCTACTCCCCAAGCCCGGCCCGAAGCCAGGCTTGACTTGTCAGAGCTTGGTCCAACAGGATGCTGCTTGGAGCAGCCCGCAGGCCCACATATCCACCACAGCCCAGTTGGTCTGGCACTTCTTGAAGAAAATAATCTAGTTTTCTCTTGAGGATGTCCACAGTTGCTCCCGCAATATTTTTTATCGTCGCTGGGAGGATGTTGAACAATTGTGGACCTCTGATGTTTATACAGTGTTCTCTGATTGTGTGTATGGCACCACTGCTCTTCACTGGTTCTATTCTACATTTTCTTCCATATTGTTCACTTCAATATGCTGTTAATTTACTGTGTAGATTTGGTACTTAATCCTCCAGTATGTACCACGTGTATATTATATGACATCTCTCTTGTCTCCTTTCTAGTGAGTACATTTGGAGAGCTTTGAGATGATCCCAATAATTTGGATACTTTATCGTGTCTATATATGCTGTATATGTTGTCACGAGAATCTCCCTTGAGAAAGAGATTGAGCCTATTCCATCATCACCTGTTCAACCGTGTAATGTCTGCATTTTCAAGAATAGAGAATTAACAAGCAAGAATGACAACAACTATACATCTAGACTAGATTCCACCACTCTCTACACCCTAGTCCTGAATCCCCCCCCCCAGCATACCTGGCATCACCAGGATCGCACCACTGGCTGGTGAACAGGCACCTTGATAGTTCACACTTGCCGGCTACCAATTATTGAGACATCAGCGCCACCTCGACTGTCATTTCTCCGTATATATAGAAGCCAGACAGCCACCACCAGTCAGAATATTCTCGGTGCTCATATCTGTTGAACCTGCTTCCACACTACCCTGTATGGTGGTAGATTTTTACAGCTTTGTACTCGGTATTTTCAGAACCATTTATTTCTTGTTCTCTAACGTAACGTTAATGCACTATAATGCACTACAACGTGAACGCGAATAGGAAGCTCTTCAGATGAAAGAACGAGAAGCTGCCCTCCAAAAGGAACAAGTTGAACTCCAACGTGAGCGTGAACAGGAAGCTTTCCAGGTAAGAGAACATGAACTTAAAATCTAACGTGAACATGAGAGGGGACAAGCTGCCCTCCAAAAGGAACATGAACAGGAAGCTCTTCAAGTAAAAGAACGGGAATCCGCCATTGCTCTAGAACACCGACGTAAAGAGCTTGACTTGGAGACCACCCACATAAATCAGCGCTAGGAAGCAGAAGCTAAAC